GACTTTAGCCTGAAGATCCTCAGTGTGGATCAGTAGAATATCAGCCATATGTCTGCAGTTTAGAGTGAACACAACTTTACCATCAGAAATATCAGCACTAAACTAAAATATGGCGACTGACCTTAATGTCTGTAGTTTGCAGAGGGGAGACTGGAGAAAACCACAGAGCTGCTTCACTCCACCATCTTTTAGGTCATTGTAGCTCAGGTCCAGTTCTGTTAGATGGGAGGGGTTGGACTTCAGAGCTGAGACCAGAGAAGCACAGCTGGCCGCTGACAACCTACAGTAGATCAATCTGAATAAAGAATAAAAGACATGTGAAGCCACTGGCGAGACGGGTTAAAACTAAAATAATGAACATTAAGATAATGGAATATTTATTTAGATATGATATAGGAGTTTTTTGGCAGATATTAAATAAAGGTTAATAAACTTTATGTTCTTCCACCTCAAGAGAGCTGGTTTATTATGTACTGAGTGCAGAGACAGCTGAGCATATATTCATATATCACTTACTATTTTTTCATATATTCATAATTACTTGACAACAAAACCACTATGGTTAATTATACACATCAATATACTAACATTAAAGATGATAAGTAGATAATTCAGGCTCTTTTATGAACTAGATTTGGTGTTTTATAGGACAAAGAGAAAATGATGTGTCTCTGCACTTAATTAGGAGTCTTTAGTGAAATCAGAGATAAATAACTATTTTAATAAAAACTTAACTAATCAACTTAGACAATGTAAACATTGGTATTTGTAAATATCAATTTTATGCAGAATGATTATTTATCAGAGTAGGTATTTAATGACAATGAAAAAGATGTTCGTCCCAGAACTCAAACCTGAAAGAATTTAATCCGCTATTCCTTTAATCTAGAAAGCACAAATGTGTAAATATATGCGTCTATTTGTTAGCAAAGGCTGTAGGAAAGTATAGTTTGTCTTATCTTTGGCTTGACGCAGAGGTTTTAGCCTCTATCCGCTTTAAACCACCCTTCAATGTTCATTGGTTATTGCCTGGCCACCCTTATAAAAATGTTCTGGCTACGCCTCTGCAGCTGAATGCAAAAAGGATGAAGAGAGAGCATCGAGCTGCTGAGTGGAGCACGAGAGCTAGAAGCAAAGATGGATGACAGAGCAGAGTTTCTCCAAGTTTAAAGCGCACCACACACCTATTGAAAGGTGTGTGGGAGATTTAACCACAGCACACTATGATCAGACGGTAACGGTGCGCTGAAGATGGTGTCACAAAACAAATACAGAATTATGAAAACATAACAGCTTTGAATCCCTTCTNTTTTAGCCTCTATCCGCTTTAAACCACCCTTCAATGTTCATTGGTTATTGCCTGGCCACCCTTATAAAAATGTTCTGGCTACGCCTCTGCAGCTGAATGCAAAAAGGATGAAGAGAGAGCATCGAGCTGCTGAGTGGAGCACGAGAGCTAGAAGCAAAGATGGATGACAGAGCAGAGTTTCTCCAAGTTTAAAGCGCACCACACACCTATTGAAAGGTGTGTGGGAGATTTAACCACAGCACACTATGATCAGACGGTAACGGTGCGCTGAAGATGGTGTCACAAAACAAATACAGAATTATGAAAACATAACAGCTTTGAATCCCTTCTTTGTTTAACTGTTCCATGGTGGCTCTTTATGTCCCCTGCCAGCCACAGTAGGAGAATTATTATCTTACTTCTATTTTTAATGCCAACTCTCCTCTGTGACAACTCTAAAAGGTATCAGCACTGAGAGCCAATAAAACATGGATGAGTGCTGCTTCCAGAAAACTCCTCTTTGGTCATAGCCTCATGCCTGTGTTGCCTTCACTGTAGCTGGGAAATTACAAAACTCCTTGTTTAATATCGTAGGGAGTTTGTAGGGACAAGCTGCATTTGACAACAGCTTAACTTTGTAAAAGTTAAAATGGCTGTCCACTTTAAACCATGAGTTTGCGGCCATTGGTTTTACAGCAAAAACATAACTTTTCCATGTTTTCCTTTAAATGTAAAAAGTTTAAAGCCATCCATGGTTTGACATCATCCAAACATTTCAGAAGAGATTCAACAGTTTTTGTTTTGCCTCATCAGGAGATCTGACAATCGTCTGCTTTACCACCAGAAATATCAGCACTAAACTTAAACATGGTGACTGACCTCAATGTCTGTAGTTTGCAGAGGGGAGACTGGAGAAAACCAGAGAGCTTCTCTTTAACTCCACCATCTTTCAGGTTGTTGTTGCTCAGGTCCAGTTCTGTCAGATGGGAGGGGTTGGATGTCAGAGCTGGTCCCAGAGAAGAACAGCTGATCTCTGACAAACTGCAGTTATTCAATCTGAATAAAGAATAAAAGACGGGTTGAAGCAACTGGAGAAACAGGTTAAAACTAAAATGATAAAAAATAATAAATAAAAATGTAGAAAAATTATTTGACTGAAAGCTAAAGTCCCAGAAAAATGATCAAGTTAAAATAGTAAACCAAGCAGAACCAGAACATGTTCTAATGACGTGTGAAGGTCCAGATCAAGGTGTGTTTATTAGTCTCCTCCAGGAGAAATCAGTGTTGGACAAAGAGCAGAGCTGCAACACAATCCAGAACCAGAACAACACAAGCAGCATCAACTGCAATGAGAAATAGATGAGAAAAATTCAGAGGAAAAGTCTTCAAACACATCCCAGCATTGTATGTGTTTGAAGACTAGTGAACTGATCTGTGCCATGTCCATATAAATGGGATCCAGTATCAGGGCAAATGACTTAAAAAGCTCAACAAGCTAATAAAAAAGGTCATCTTTGTTCTAGGAACTCCAATGGAACCTTTGAAGATGATTTCACAAAGAAGAAGATTATGGACAACAGTGAGCATCCTCTTCAGAGGATTGTTGAACAACTAAGTGTCTTCAATCAGAGGCTTCTCCAGATCCGGTGGAAGACAGACCACTACGGAAGATCCTCCCTGCCTACAGCATCAACACCTACAACAACTGGTTAAAATGAAACCCTATGAGTTACTGCAGCATTTAGTTTCTCTTCTGGATTAATAAAGTACTTTATGAATTGAATTGAATCTATGGAGGAAGATGAGAAACAGGAAAACCAACATGCAGTTGATCTGAAGGCTACATTAACTTGTAAAAGTCTTAGTAAATAACACTCCAATGCTTACTAAGTTCATGTCATGATTCAAGTGTGTCCTGGACTCATATTCAGACCTGAGAATTTCCAGTTTGCAGTTTGGACTCTTCAGTCCAGAAGACAGCAGCTCCACTCCAGAATCCTTCAGGTTGTTGTAACTCAGGTCCATCTCTCTCAGATTAGAGGACTGGGAGCTGAGAACTGAGTCCAGAACTTCACAGCTTCTCTCTGAGAGGTTACACTCATTCAGTCTGAAGAGACAGAGATGAAAATCATGAAAAAATTAACTTTTCCAGCAGCTCTTGAAGCCCAAACTAAAGCCATGCATGCCAAAACCCCAAAAAACAACATTGGGCTTAAACACATTTCTATGTCTGTTACCTGGTAAAACTCTGGACAGACTGAGCTGCAAA